AATTCTTAGGAAAAATTTTAATATTTTTTATATTAATTGAATGTTTGAGAAGAATTTTTTAACATTTTTTTTTTTTTAATAATATAATTGTTTTGTGAAATTTTAGTAAAATAGTAATTAAAATTTGAATTATTTTTGGGAAATTTTATTAAAATAGTAGATATTGAAAATTATTAAAATTAGAAAATTTTTTGAAAATTATTAAAATTAGGACAATAATTTTTTTGACGTTTATGAAAATAATTGAACTTTGGTGAAGAATTTTGTTATTTATAAAGTCAATTGGGATTTTTACGAAAATTTTTTTAAATTTTGAACATAGTTGAATTTTGTAAGAAGAATTTTATTTTTTTAAATTATTATTTGTAATTATTTCAAAATTGATTTTTTTTAGTGTTTTCATCATGAATTTAAATTAGAAAATTTTTAAATTCTATTATTTCTAAAATTACTAATTAAATTTAAAAAAAAGGTAGTAAGAAGTTAGTCGCGCGCTTTAGTGCGCGAATTGTTTGCTAGTTGTCATAAAAAGACGTTTAAATTAAATTTATTTTAATTTTTTATGGACTGTTAACAACCTAGGTTGTTGCTAGGATGTTGCTGAGCAACATTCTGAAGAATAGAAAACTTTTTTGAAGCTTTTTAAGACCTTTTAAACAATAGTAAAACCGCACTGCCGAACACTAGCAGAAGATCATAATTGTCAAAAAAAAGAAGTTTAAATTAAATTCTTTTTAATTTTATTTTTTTTTTATGTACTGTTAACAATCTTTATTGTTGCTGGGATGTTGCATTTTTTTATTTGTTAATAATTAAATTGTTATTAGGAAATAAATGAATAACAATAAATAAGTTTAAAAAAATATAAATAACACAATATTATGTAAAAAATGATTATAATTTGTTATTCTCATTTAGACGGACATTTTATAAAATCCAAGAAATAAACATATTCGTCGAGTGTGGAAAATTTTGTAAAATATGAAATTGAATAATTTAAGAGAAATTGAATTTGTTAAAAGTTCGCTAAGAACTTTGGAAAGAGACTGGTGATTATTGTCACGTAATCCCTCATAAATATTCTGAGGAGAAGCTGACAGTTCACGGGATCAGTTTCCTTAATAAAATGCGACTCGTAGATAAGGAGCGAGAAAAAGAAAGGAGAGAGCGAGAGAGAGTGTGTGTGTCGTCTTCTTCTTGTAGAAGAATTTTCTTATTTTCAGACAGATATTCGTTTTTCATCCCCTTACTATTCGGGTTGTTGAAGGTTACTATATATATATACACCTAGAAGAGGAATTTTATACTGTCACGCGTTACTTCCGCTTTCAAGGCTGTCACGCGTCAGTTCCACTTTGTTTCCCGACGATTTTCAACTTTACGTGCGCAAAACTACTGGTTCCCCTGTACGTCAGAGGAAATGATTTTTATTCAAAGATCGTCCTTCTATCTTTCCCTCCCCCCATCTCTCTCTCTCTCTCTCTTTCTTTTCCCTTTCACGCGTTCACTTTTTTCGAATAGAAACATTCTTTTAATTGCTTTAATCACTTAAAACCTGGTTAAGCTTCCAAGAGAAAAAAAAGAACAGGAAAACATTTTCATTCAGAGTTTAAAATGTAGTTGCGAGTGATAGAAAAAAAATGAAATTCCCATTCATTAGAAATTCAAAAGATTTAGATTTACTTGTTTTTATCAAAAGGTTTTTTTTAAAGTCTGACCTTTTTTTTTGTAAAGGAGTTCATGTGATTCAAACAGAGGATAAAGTTTTCATTCTCATTTGTAAAAGAGATGTAATATGTATAAAAAAAAACTTTTTTGTTCTTATAAAAGTGGTTCCATATTTTCCTCTTATTTTCAGTAATGTACTAATTAAATTTTTATATTTTCATTCAGCATTTTTAATTTTCAATTCGTTCAATTTTATACAGAAAATATTAAAAATTCTTTTTTAGGAATTTTTTTTTGTCCATTGACACAATATTCATTATTTCCTCTTATTTTCACTAACTTTTATAAATTCTCTCTTTTAATATTACTCTATAATTTAAAAAAATTATCACAATTTTTTCTTTTAAATATTTATTGGCAGAAAAAATTTTTGTTCATGTAGTAATTCACTTATTAACGCGAAATTGTGAAATACAAAATAATTTATAAATTTTTCTTGCAAATATAGTATTGCAAACTGAAAAAAAATTTATTTGATTCAAAAAATCGATTACTTCTCTAAATTATCAAATTAATATTTACTTGAATCAAATAATTTTTATTTAGATCAATTAAACACTAATTGCTTAAATAATATAAATTTATTGGTTCAAATACAATTATTATTAATTTGATTCAAATAAAAATCGAAATAAAAATTATTTGATTCAAATAAAAATCGAAATAAAAATTATTTGATTCAAGTAAATATTCATTAGACAAAAGTAATCGGTTAATTGAATGAAACAAAAATTTTTTTCAGTGAAGACCTTATTTTTATCATTATAATTATCAATTAGGAAGTAAAAGAAAAATTAATAATTGAATTGAACAAACTTTCTAAACAATGGAAAATCCCAATTTGATATTTAATTAAAAGTAACTATTTGTTTGGAACACAATTTTGCCAGAGTGCTCTGTTTGTTTGGAAATCATTAAAATACCATTCTTCTCGAACAAGAATATAATGCTTTTCTACTTTTGGTATTTAACAAATGTAAAAGATCAACATTATTGTTAAAGAGCTTTGGTAAATTGCCAAGTCCGGATTTTCTAAAGATCCTTGAGCATTGTCTTTTCTCCATTGTCAGTCTTTCTATTCTACATACATATATATATATATTATATCAAACATATATATCCCTTTTCCTACTTGAGCACAGTACTTAGAAATGCCCTGTCTGACCACGTACGTGTACTTACCACTGCTTAGTTAATTCTCTCATTAGGAATACGGCGCTTGTTTTAGCATTTAAATAAGATTCCTCTTTGTACATGCTCTCGGTACGATATACCAGGCAAACTTCCTCTTTCGACATACGCTTCGCATTAACTTATGTAAAGAGTTCTCCGTATGTAATCCGGCGTGAAATTACACGTAGTTTTGCATGAAAATCTTGAATAGGAATCTTGAAAATTGAGCGCAGCTTCATTTTTTGTTAATCACTTTTTTCCCCTTTTTTTCTACTTGTATTTTCAATTTTTTCTTTTTTCCCCACTTGTATTTTGAGTAAAACAATTTTTTTCTACTCTTTAAGAATATACAATGGAATTAAAAGAGTTTTTGAATAAAAAAAAGTGTCGCGAATCAGAGAGAATAAAGATTTTAATTAGGATAACCTAGTAGGAGCCCCTGACGTGAATATTAAATTTTGTGGTACTTTCCTCGCCGCTTTTTATATTTAAACAAATTCTTATCTTTTTATTTCAACACTCTGTCTCAAGAATTGCGAGCATTTTTATTTTTATGAAAAATTTAAAATAATCGAATTAAAAGGTTTATTGCCTTTTTCAATATAAAACATTTCCTTTTGCGAAAATAATAAAAAAAAAAAATTCAATTAAACTTTTTCAAAAAAAAATTAATTTCAAAATTCAATTATACCTATTCCTAAAAATTCATGGTATATAATGATTTTAATATTCAACTATTATCTAAAATTTTAAATGAAATTAATTTTTAAATCAATTTTCATTTAAAAAATGCTAGGAGAATTCAATTATTTAAACAATGAGTTTTATTATTTATGAAAATAAATGAATTCCTAAAAAGAATTTTGTTATTTACAAAAATAATTGAATCACTGTAAAAATTTAATTATTTAAAAAAATCCTAATAAAATCCTTCGCAAGAATTCAATTATTTTTACAAGTAGTAAAATTTCTCAAAAGAATTCAATTATTTTTAAAAAAATGTAATAAAATTCGTTGCAAGAATTCAATTATTTTAATAATAAATCGATTATTCGGAAATTCATTTTTAAATCAATTTTTATTAAAAAATTCTACTAAAATTCAATTATTTAAATTCAAAAATAAATAATTTATTGAATAATTGAAATTTTGTTAAAATTGAAATCATGACGAGAATTTTTTTTTTAATTTTTGAAAATAATTGAATTTTGCAAAGAATTTTATTGAAATTCTTGAAAAAACAAATGAATTTCTGGGAAGAATTTTGATATTTATCTGGATAATTGATTTCTTTCTAAGAATTGCGTTAAAATTTTAGAAATAATATTAAATACAATATTCAAAAATTCAACTAATTTCAACATAATTAAATTAAAATTGTATTAAAAATAATTGAAATTCAGCGATGAGTTTGAATAATTGAATTCTTTTGGATAATTTTTTTAAAATAGCAGATATTAAAAATTATTGAATTGAGGAGAATTTATGAAAATAATTGAAATTTTGACAATAATTTTATTAAAATTTTTGAAAATAGTAAAAGATGTTATTTGTTTTTTTTAAAAATCAATCCACATTTATTCAAACAATTATTTATGTCAAATGTGAAGCTTTTCGTCCATCGACGATGGACCTCTTCAGAGGTCCATCAATTATTTTTGAAAATAATTGAATTCTGGAGAAGAATTTAATTATTTCTAAAAATAATTGAATTTTGACGAGAATTTTTAAAAATTTTTGAACATAATTGAATTTTTGTGAAGAATTTTATTACTTTTGAACATAATTAAATTTCTGCAATCATTTGTAATTTCTCAAAAATTCTCTAAATTAAAAATTAAGTAGAAATTTTTTCGAACCCAAATATTTCGGTTTTTTTTACAGAAATATTTACTATCTAAATTTTCGTTTTAATTAATCTTCTGATGTTTTTATTATTTCATATAAAAATTATTAAAATAATTCCAAACATTAAAAAAAAATTATCAAAGTTAAATTGTCAAAAAGCAAAGTTTGTGTCAACTGGAAAAGCGAAAGAGTAAAAAATTCGTGCGATTTATCCGCAACTGATATATAAAATGGTTGTACCAATCGGATCTTTTTTCCTCCCAGTACTGGAAATTCCGTTTACTCTGGAATTTCGTGAAATAAAAGGAAAGAGAAAGGTTGCGATGTAGAGAGAGAGAGGGAGGGGTGGAAGGGGGAGATTGTGCGAAAACTCGTTCAACATTGTGACGCGCGTCCCACATGTAAATTTCGTTTGCGAATCAGTGGTGTTTCGGCAAATTCTCATTTGCTCAATTACCACACGTTCCCACATTCGGAAACCGAATAGAAAGAGAAATTGGTTGAGTGCAAAACGAACACAAGCGAGATGCAAACAATCCCGTGTAGAAATTTCCATACTTTTTCCATGTTACCTGTTTGGCCCCGATCGGGGTATCCCTATCTGGCCCCAGATTGGTAAATCTTTTGGCCCGGACTGGGCCCAGAACTGGCGGTGGTAAAGTAGAAGCACTATATAAATATCTATACAAAGTGTATCTAACCTTGTGAGTTGACAGTTGACAAACATAAATTATTATTGATTTATGATTATTGTTAACATTAATTTTAATTGAATAGAAAATGCCAAAAGAAAAAAGCACTCGCCGTGTTAAAATTCACCGTGCATTGAACAAGATTAGAAATGTACATGATTTGATGCAGAGTAAGTATAATATTTATTATTTACATCCTGAATATAAAAGTTAACCCACTATCAAAACTGAAAATATAAATACATTTTTTATAATGGAAATTACTTATATTAATTAACAATAAATTAAGATAATCAAATGAAATTATGAATAAGTATCATTCTTGATTGTAATAAACACAAGTTCTTTATAGTACATGTTTTGTATGTCAAGAACATTTTTGCATGCAATATGTCACGTGAACATAACCTTAAAGTATGAATTTAAATATTTTTACTATTTTTATTTGTATCTACTACTATTTTTACTAATATTATGTTAGAGAAGAAAATTTTTAACTATTAAATAAAAACTATTTTTTAATTTATTTAAAAATTATTATTTTATAATTATTGTTTTTTAATCTACCCAGGGATATTTATCAAAATGTTCAAATATTAATAATACAAAATTTTAGATGATGGAAATGATGCTGACAATGAAGAAGAATCTGAAAAATCTTCACAAAGAGAAACCGAATCTTCACAAGAATTAGAAGCAACAAATTCATTTAATTCAAGTGCCGAAAATGAGTCCGAAAATCCAGTGGAAGAGAATGAAAATGTTTATGGTAATAATGTATATTACGAAAATGAAAATTCAGGTAAAAAATTGTGAAGTTCATAAAATAGTTAGTTTGTAAATTTGCTTGAAGTCCGTAAAAGTCAGTTTTTTTTTTAAAAAGTCCATAAAGACTGTACTTTGATTAAAAAAAGACGGAAAGTTCTTAAATTATACGATATAATTTGGAGAATTTCAGAGAAATTACAAATGATTGCAGAAATTTAATTATTTTCAAAAGTAATAAAATTCTTCGCAAAAATTCAATTACGTACAAAAATTAAAAAAATTATCGTCAAAATTTCAATTATCTTAATAAATAGGTAATAAAATTATCCTCCAAAATTCAATTATTTTTAAAAATTTTAATCAAATTCTTGGCAAAATTTCAATTATTTTCAATACAATTTTAATCGAATTCCTTGAAAAATGTAATTGTTCTTAAAAATTTTATTAAAATTCGTCAAAAGAATTCAATTATTTAAAAACTTATTAGTAAAATTCTTTATGGGAATATTAAAAGCATTAAAGTGAAAAATTTTTAGGAATATTTAATAATTTTGAAAAGGTATTAAATAAAAATCTTTGAAAATATGAATTTTTTATATTTATAACTAACAATTCTAATATAAACCTATTTAATAGAAGAATTTACAAATAATTAAAATTTTGTAAAATTGAATTGTAAACAAATGAATTTGAAAATTCTCCATGAACTTTTTCAGAAATTATTAAAAATTATGCATTTATATAAGAAAATACGAAAAAAATTAATTAATTGGAAGAATTACAAATTATTGCAGAAATTCAATTATTTTCAAGAGTAATAATATTATTCGCAAAAATTAAATACACTCGATTCTTGTTATAACGAATCTCGTTACAACGTTCTCTCGTTATAACGAACATTAAAACTCTCGATACAACGACAAAAAAAACACGAACGAATTTAAGAATTTAATTTAACCAAAATTTTGGTTAACTCAAAAAAAACGACAAATTTAATCGACTCTTAAATTTATTTAACCTAAAGAATAATAATAATAATAATAATAATATATATAAAATTAAAAAAAAAATTGTCGACATATTTTTTCTTCTAAACCAGCGGTATTTACAATTTACTTTTTTTTTAGGTTCGGATGAAAGTATGGTTGTCAGTGCACCATCAGAATCAGAAGAATCTAATTTATATTTATCAGACACAGAAGACGAATACATTGATGAAATGATAGAGGTGGCTGAAGATCCACCACAAGAAATCGAAGATTTGCGACTTATGGCAGTAACTGAAGGAATGGAACAGAAGACTGTGGATAAAATGCTCAAAATTTTGCGTTTGAGATTATTGCCAGAACTACCTAAATCTGCAAAAACATTTTTAGGAACGTCTTCAGCAAATTATGACATTAAAGAAATGCTGGATTCAGATGGGTCAAACGGAGAATTTGTCTATTTTGGCATAGAAGAAGGACTTAAGAAGTGCATTGACCCTCAAGTGCACAAAAAAACAACCATTTTCATCCAATTTAACGTGGATGGAATTTCTGTCTTTAAGTCTGCTGAAAAAGGTTTTTGGGTCTTATCGGGAAAGGTGCACTACCAACCAGACATCTACAAGCCTTTTCCTGTTCAAATTTATGCTGGGAATTCGAAGCCAAATGTAGATGCCTATTTCGATGAGTTTATCGCCGAAATAAACAAATTACAAAAAAATAGCATTTTAATAGCAAATCAAAGATTTAATGTAAAAATCCACTGCTTCATTTGCGACACACCAGCACGTGCATTTATAAAAGGGACAAAGGGCCATACAGGGTTTTACTGCTGTGAAAGGTGCAAAATAAAAGGACAAAAAGTAGACGGAGTAACACAATTCCCTCTTATAAATTCGGAAGAAAGAACAGACTCATGTTTCAGAAGACAATCGCAACGACGTCATCACAATTACATATCTCCACTATTAAAAATAAAGCCATCTGTCAATATGATTCTAATGTTTGTCCTGGATTATATGCATTTATTGTGCGAGGGAATAATGCGAAGATTAATGTTTAGCTGGTTTATTATTTCTGGACGCGCCAAAGTCGGTCAAAATTTAAAAAATGAGGTTTCAAGACGACTTGTCTTAATAAAAAAATGTATTCCTTGCGAATTCCAGCGAAAGACAAGGTCCCTAAAAGCGTTAAGTAAGTGGAAAGCAACCGAGTTCCGATTTTTTTTGCTATATTGCGGTCCAATAGTCCTAATAAGAATCTTAAATCAAGATCGTTACAACAATTTTTTATTGTTGCATACAGCCAGCCGAATTCTATGTAGCGATAATTTATTAAAAAATTATCAGCAGCATGCAAAAGTCTATTTACAACACTTTTTTGTTGAGTTGCGAAGGCTTTACACGAAAATGCAAGTTCTAAATATGCATTGTTCGATACATGTTGCTGATGACGTTTTGTCAATGGGGTGTAACCTGAACAAAATTTCCGCTTTTCCGTTCGAAAATTTTTTAGGAAAACTAACCAGCCTCCTACGAACTCCACATCGGCCTCTCGCTCAAATTTGTCGCCGAGTTCATGAGCTACAATCAATTGATCCTCCTAAACCTCAAAAACCTTACAAAATTCAGATTTTAAAATCTGTTGATACGGAAATTTTGAAGTTGAGGTATAAAGAGTACACATTAACAACTGAGTCGCCAGATAATGTTGTGCTCTTAAAAGACGGATCAATTTTTGAAATAAAATGCATAAATAAAATTAACGAAGGAATGGAAATTCAAGGAAATATTTGGAAAATCAAGGAATCGTTGTTTATGTATCCTACAGATTCAAAAGACTTGCACATTTTCCAGTTGGATAGCAGGAGTAATCAATTATCGACTTTTGATATCAATTTTGTAAAAACAAAAATGGTTAAAATCGAAATCAATCTAAACAAAAATGGTCCAATGAAATTTTATTGTATTCCGCTTCTTCATTAATTTTATTTAACGCAATAAAATGAAGTTAATCAGGGTCTCTACTAATAGGTAAATCCGGGAAATAGCCGGAAGCTTAATTTGACCGGGAAAAAACAGGAATTTTTTTAACCAAATTAAAAAAAGTTTTATTATTCTAATTTGATTTTTTAAAATATCGCTTTTTATTTAAATTTGAATAGATATTTATACTGTTCTCTAAATTTGAATTAGTTAAATTTAATTAATTTGATTGTAAAAAATCAGTCACTGATTCAAATATAGTTAGTAAATAAAATAAAAAAAAATTATCGAATTAATAGAAATTATGTAAAATTCAACTGAAAATAATTAAATTTGTTTAAGAATTTCATTAAAAACTTTTTAATAAATCGCATTTTCAAAGTATTTTAATTAATTAATTCATAAGTAAATGAATTTTATTAAGAGTCTCATTCTAATATATTCATGTTTCTTAATTGAAATTTCTTTACATTCTATTAAAAATAATTAAATTCTTTTAGAGAATTTTATTTAAATTTTTTAAAAATAATTAAAGAAAGATTGTCACCCTAATTATAATTATAATTTAATTAATTATAATTTTAATTAATAATTATAATTTTATTTTTTAAAATTTCTTTTCAATATATTCAATTATTTTCATAAATTGTAAAACTTATTGCAGAATTTCAATAATTTTTAATACAATTTTAATCAAATTCCTTGAAAAATTTAATTATTCTTATAAATTTTATTAAAATTCGTCGAAAGAATTCAATTATTTCTAGAAACTGTAAAAAAAATTCTTCTCTAGAATTCAATTATTTTCATAAATAGCAAAATTCTTCATAGTTAGAAAATTCTTTTGACTATTATTTAAAAAAAAAATCTTCACAAGAATTGAATTATTCTTATAAATTTCTATAAAATTCTCAAAAACAATTCAATTATTTTCATCATTAATAACATCCTTTAGAAGGATTCAATTCGATTATTTTTATAAATAGAAAAATTCTTTGCAAAAATTCTATTAGTACCAATACATTTTAATAAAATCGAATTAATGAAAATTTTAATTATAATGACGAACAGGCAAGATTAATTAAAAAAATTCTTTGCTTAACTCAATTACTTTCCAAATTTTAAATTAAAATTATTAAAAAAATTATTATTTTCAAAAAATTGAAAGAAACTCGTCAAAAGAATTTAATTGTTCATAAATACTCTAATAAATATTTTTTAAACCATCTGTAGATTTATTTATGTTCGAAATCAAATAAATTTAAATTTGATAAAAAAAAACCAGGAAAAAATTAGGACAAAGTCGGGAATTTTGTTGAACGGAAATAGTAGTCAATTTGTTTTACTTAATTTAAAATTATGTAATTAAAATAATGTCATAAATAGAAAAACTTATATAAGAATATAGAAATATGTAAATAAGAAATTTGTAAAAACAAAAATGTTTAAAATCGAAATAAATCTAAAGAAAAAGGGTCCACTTAAATTTTACTGTGTTTCGCTTCTTCATTAATGTTATTAGAATAAGAGTTGTCAAAAGATTTTGCGTTTATATTTTAATATTTTTTTATATTTATTTATATTTTTTATAAAATAAAAATGGTATAAAAAATCTTAATTTTATTATTTAAATACTAAAAACATAATAAACTTTTCAATTTAACGCGCTAAAATGTTAGCTGGTTACATTCTAGTTTCTGACAGTATAGGTAACATACAGAAAAAAAAATATTTATGTACCTTCCTGAAATTGAATGATTGGTAGAAAAATTGCGCTCTTATTTAAATGATTTATTTTCTAAATATTGAAATAAAAATTTAATTTATATATTTTATTCAATATTTTATATCCAGCATAAAAGAATATAATAAAACTTTATTTTAATGCAAATAGTAATTATTAACATTACGATCCTAAAACGTTTCAGTACTAGAATGTATCTATTTTTGTAGTGCTTGTTTGTAAAATATTTGATTATTCTTTAAAATAATTTAGTAATGATTTAATGTAATTTAAATTTCTTTAAAACTATTTTTTGAAAAAATAATATTGAATATTCGCGCCATAAGACAATCAATCATTTAACAGTAATAACGCTTGCGCAGTTGCGTTCAATATAACTCATTGTCAATTTGGCAACTCTGCATCAGTTGCAAATCTGCTTTGAAAGTTCGAGCCTGTCTGTGATTTCTGTTTCTTTCTATTAACTGATTTTACGAATAATATATTGGACCAGGATATCTTCCAAGGTAAGAAAATAGTATTTCTTAAAGAATAAATTTTGTTTAGGTTATGATTAATTGCTTCTAAAAGTTTTATTACCAAATTATTAGATGAATTTTGAATTGTCTATTAAACATAACCTCAATGTTCGTTTTTCAAAGTTGAATTTAATTCATGTACATATATTATAATTGTTTTTCTTTTTTAATATTTATTTCTCTTGTTTACTTATTTATTAATGTCTATCTTACCATTTTAATTCAATAATAAATTGTAATCATTAAAATTATCACTAATATATTAATGAATTATACATTATGTCAATGTCAATAGATAAACAATCATGGCAAAAATGGTCGAAATGAAACCCTATCAACTAGTAAATTTCATTGAAGAAGATGAACAGACAATAACGAGATCTGTGGACATTACGTTATTAAAATGGATTCGGTGCGACCAATCAAGAAATAAATTGGTTACAAAATATATGCCAGGACCATATAATGACAAGACTAATAAAATATTATACAATTTAATAAAGAAAAATGAAGCTCCTCGTGATAATTGGCCAGAGTATGATATTAAAATAGTTGGACATGCAGGTAAAGTATTTCTTATTAAAATTTGATCATTATAATATAAGTTTCTACTAATCTTATTTTAAACAATCTATTTAATTAACATTATTTTATTAACTAATTTTCAACAAATTTGACGAATGCTAATTTATAATTTACTATTTCATTTTTAACATTGTAGACACCTACGAACAAGCGATCAATAGAATCAATTATTTGAAAATTCAAGAATTTGCCTACACCACAGATCCCGAAATAAACAAAAATGAGAAAAGAAAAATAATTGAACATCAAATTAAATCATCATATGAAACATTGCCAGATGTGCCGAGATTTACACAAGAAGTAATTATACCTTCCTCAAAAGCTGATGAACCGAAGGATAATAAAGGTAATTTTATTTCTTCCTTACATTTATGTATATATAAACAAATAAGAATTATGATTAATAAAATGTAGAAAAATGAAATTTATGTAACCTAATATTTTAAATATTTGCAAACTATGTTAAAAGTCAATTCAAGTAAAAAAAATTTTAGGTTATGTGAATATTATCAATAATAAAAATTAAGACAAATACATTTTAGAAAAATTAAATTTATGGCTCATTATATTTGCAAATAATGAAATTTCTATTTTACGACTTTTGATTACATGAAACTTATGTCAAATAATAATTCTACAATAATAATTTTGATAATTGAAAATTACTAAACTGAAATATTAGGGAATAATCATTCGCCCCGATGTAATCTAATAATAAATTTTATAATAAAAGTTATATTTTAATATAATAACTATTTAAATTAAATAATAGTAATAATAGTTATAAAAAATTACTAATGATTATAATACTGATTTATTAAACAATCTACTAATACCAAAAAAAGGAAAAAAAAAGCAAGGAAGAAAATTACAAGAAGAAGTGTCAGACCATCAACCAAAAATTAAAAAAGTAAAAACTTCTGCACTGGATACTCGGACGGAAAGCGAATTCAGTAAGTTTAATGCCGTTATAGAAAATTATTTCGATATTTTAAATTAATTTTACTTCTTTAAATTTCAGGTCATTTATTATTCTACCATGATGACGAAAGCAGCAGTGACCTGAGTGACGGTAAATAGTCTTTATTAATAAAGAACACACCTATAAATTATTTGTATTTTAATAACGAATTTGCAAAAGAGTAAAACGTTCCGAAAATATATTAAATTTTAAAAAATTTCAAGTTTCTTAATTTTATCGTCAAAAAAGCAATCTTTAAACAAATTTATTCATTAAAAAACTTTCCTTGAATTTCGTTTTGTTTGCTCTATAAACTTTGAAATTACCGCGAATTTTAATGCAAAATTAAAAAATGATTTTATTTTAATATTTTAAATAATTCTTCAAAAAGTATCATAAAATTATGATTATAAAATTATTCAACGATTATTAAAATGAATATTCAACCATTACAATAATTTTTTTGTTAAAAAAATCTTCAATAAATAACAAAAATAACTCATTTTATGCAGGAAAATCAAGTAACAACCGTGAAAAAACAGCAATAGACAATGCCGATCTTACATTTTTGGATGGATTACCTTCTACATCAACAGCCAATTTACGTGAGTATAATCTAACTTTCAATTATTCTTTTGTTCAAAAAATTTTCAATAAATAATAAAAATAACTCATTTTATGCAGGAAACTCGAGTAACAACCGTGAAAAAACAGCAATAGACAATGCCGATCTTACATTTTTGGATGGATTACCTTCTACATCAACAGCCAATTTACGTGAGTATAATCTAACTTTCAATTATTCTTTTGTTCAAAAAATTTTCAATAAATAATAAAAATAACTCATTTTATGCAGGAAACTCGAGTAGCAACCGTAAAAAGACTGCAATAGACACTGCTGATCGAATATTTGTGGATAATTCAGCTTCTACCTCAACAGGCAATTTACGTGAGTATAATAGAATTATTATAAAATATATTTAAAAAAATAAAAATTGTAATGATAAATAAATGTAATTATCAACACTTTTTATGAATATAATTGAAATATATATATATATATATTCATTTTGTACAGAAAAAGGGAATAAAAATAATATTAAAAACAAGAATCTATTGAAGGACGATAACAATTCAAGTGAGTATAATTGGATAAGAAAAAATCATTTATAATTATTCAAAAGTACAATTTGTAAAATTTTTTGTAGAGTATCAATTTATCCTAAAGGATTTAGTTCTAATAAAAAATAAAGTGGAAAAAATAGCTGACGATATAACAGTGATAAAGGCCATTCTTCAATCGAATAAAGCTGCAATGTACTCGGGCCAAAAAAGTTTTGAAGAAGATTTTAAATTGCAATTGCCTTTTACAACATTCGAAGATTTTTCTAAGTTCTCCGAAACTTTGTCAACAAACGAAGAATGTTGTAATCGATTCGTGAGTAATATTACATTGTTCTTAGTTTATATGGTGTGCAGGCTTTGCACTTATCTACCAAAACCTGCTACACCAGATCATAAGCTTAATCCCAATATATAGAAACTATTTATTGCTTTGATTTAAAAATATTATTGGTTTGCATAAGTATATTTAATTCAATAATATATATTCTGATTTGGTTTGACTGCATAGTAAACATATTTTAAGTTTGATTTAAACAAAATGTTTGAATAAAATTAATTGTTTTCTCAGTGTATTTATTACTTTTTTACGATTTACTACTATTTAGAAACTTTTTAAAATTTTTGATACTAAAAGCTAATTTAATTTAATATCTCAACAATTTAATTATATACACATATTAATCACATTTTTCGCTGAAAATCAATTATTTCCAATATTTACTATTTCCTAGTAGGTCAATGAAATGTTTTTATTTAAATAACTAAATTATCTATGTTTTAATAAGAATTGAATTAAAAATGAATTTTAGTTATAATTTTAGATAATTAAATATTAAAAGCGTTATCCTAGTATGAATTCTAATAACTAATTAAATTTCAAAAAATTTTAAATCGGAACCTTTGAAAATGTTAATATGTTGTAGAACTATAAAAATAGTTAGATATTTATTATTAAAAAATTATTTATTTATTATTTTTCTAAAAAGCTATTGAAGTTTTGAATAATTTTTTTTAAAAATTAAATCTACTTTAAAATTAAAAAAAAATTTAATTTTTGGGTAAAAGTAAATCAGAATAGGTATTTTATTAAACATTATTCAAGTACGAGTAATTGAAATTGGAAATTATGAAAAGAAATTAGTCTTTTAAAAAATTTTAAGTAAAACTTTTTGAATATACTGTTAAATTCTTGTAACAGTTTAAAAAATGTATTTAAATTTACAATATTAATTTTGTTAAATTTAATTGTAATAAATTTTATATTTTAAAAAATTTCAGTTTTTTACTTTTTAAAAATATTTTTATATATATTTGTAGTTTTGAAGAATTCGAACTAAAAATTTGGAAAATAATTGAATTTCAGAGAAATCTAGAATTAATATTATTCAATATTCGATTAATTTGCTTTAGGATCCGTGAAAAGAAAAGTGAATATTTTTTATGAAAATCAGGAAAAAGTTAGGAAAAAATAAAATAAAATTTTTGTGAAATGACTAAAAGGAATTTTTTAGTCGTCAAATTAAATTTTTCGATAGTTATGTTTTTACTACTTTTATCAATCTTTAATATTGGCCTGGGTCAGAATAACTAGTTACATAAATTTATGTTTTATTCTTTCAGAAAGCTTTTATTGATTACTTATCGATTAATACAGATGATGGAATTAGAAGATCATTGACTATAATTATAAAAAAATTTTTCTCAAGAGAATTAGTTGGTTTATTTACGGCAGCAAAAAAAATGCCAAACAAACATTTATTCAAGGATTTTGAATTTTGTAAAAAATTATTAGGTAACTATTTAAATATTTTACATTATTTTGCGTATACAAAGCACAAGAATCCTATCGAAAATTAATTAATTATTTTTCAGAAGTTTATGTTATAAAGTTTTCTACTGCTGAGGAAAGTGTACTTTCTCACATCGGGGCCGTTTTTAGCAATTCAAAAGACTGGGACGGACAACGAAAGACAAGATAAAACCAGTTTCAGAAGTTTTATTATCAGTATTATAATTCATCATCTTACAAGATTCTTATAATTTTATATTTGCTATTTAATTTTCTATTTAAAAAGTTGTCTAATCTATTAGTAAAAAATGTTTATAAAACTGTTATCATAATCCATTGTTTATTGACATAGTCAATTTAAAAAGTTCCAAATAAATTAATTTCTAATATAATTGATGTATTTTTGTGTAAAATTAATTGAAACTTATTTAAATTTAATTTAATTTTGAAAAAAATCTATATTCTGGGCCACGTCAGGGCCCAATAGGGGCCATAAATCGGGCATCCCCATTTGGGCCAGATCGGGCCGAGTGTTTCATTCTGATCTGGCCCTAACCGGGTTTTCCCCATCGGGGCCCTACTTCACCAGATCAGGACCAGATCAGGCCCATGACAAAATTTCTACACGGGATTGTTTGCAAGCTGTCAGCTCGTGTTCGAACGCATATTCTCGACGCTAAAATTCTGTTTAACTACCTCTCTTATGGTCAACCCACAGTCGACTTCTCCTCCCCAAAAAGTCTCTATATACATATATTTTGTTACATAATGAAGAGACACTCGTATAACTGCGCTATAAAAAATTAAATTAGTTTTTCATTTTCGTCATTTGTCTCGTAATACACGTAATTAACGCGCCTTTTTATTTCTTTTTTTTTATTTTTACTTTACTTTACTTTACATTTTACATTTCAATTCTATTTCTATTTTGTTTATTTTTATTTTCTTTTATTTTTTTAAATTTATTTTCTTTTATTTTACTTTACTTTGTTTTATTTCCTTTTATTTTATTTTATTTTTATGCATTGCAAGGTTTTATTTAAATCAAATTAAATTTTCTTAGAATTTAAACAAACAAAAGTTCTTTAAACCAAAGATTTATTTGGTAAAATCAAAACCAATTCTTTTATTGGTTGCGATTTTATTAAGTTGAGCAAAGAGTTTATTAAAATTCGAATAATAACTTTTTCCTGGGTAGCAGGAAGTGAAATATTTATACACACACATTTGCAGAAGTTTAGAATATTTGTTGTAAAAGAAATAATAAATAAATGTACACAAGGATAAACGTAGATAAATATTAATTTTTATTTTTATCGAAATGAAAACATACATTTCATGAAACTTTTTGATTTATGTACTTTGGGGTAATAAATTAAATATTGAAATGTATGTTATAAAAAGATTTTAAATTGAAAACTTTTTTCCAAGTATTAAAATTTGAGTATAGTTTTTGTAAGTCAAAAGTATTTAAAATTAAAAGCTTGTAATTTTCGTAATTGTAAAAGCTCTCAGATTATAAAGTTAAATGCGTATACATAAATTTCATAACTCGCAGGAAATGAAAAATTTTTCGTTACGTATGTTTCTCAATGTGAAATGTTGAGAGCTTTTCCAGTGAAAATTTAATATCACTATTTCTTTATTTAATTATTATTATTATTAATAGTTTTTTAAAATTAATATTATGCTTTAAAGTAATATTTTATCTTTAAATTAATATTTTGCTTTAAATTAATATTTTGATATTAAAAGATTGATATTATCACTCAGTGATATTAATAATTAACATAATTATTATTATATTATTTCTGGTTATATTTATAATACTTTTTTCCGGGAGTAAAAATTAACGGTAGATTATATAATAAGTTGCAAAAAAAAAATTAATTGAAAAATTAATTTCTCTAAAGTTGAAGGAATCAAATGTCCCCCCTCAAAAAAAAAAAAAGAAATAAAAAATATCTCGTTAAACTATCTTACAAGAACGCTGGAGGAATTTTAATATATCTTGCGCAAGAAAGTTCTTGTTCTTTTTTTATTTGCGTTTATAAATATCTATATGTATATATACATATATACACGTAGATGTAAGTCAAATTAAAAAATACTTGGTTGAAAAAGAGAGAGAAAAATATTAACTGTCCACTGAGAATGGGTAAAGACAATTAAACGCATTCTCATTGCGATATTAGGTGAAGAGTACTTTCATGAATTTTAAGTAAGGTTATCTTTTTTAATTATTTTCCATTGTTAGAAGAAAATTTGCATTGTCATATATATATATATATATATATATATATATATATATATAGAGCAATTTTTAACTGAATAAAATAGTGACAAAATTTTCAGAAAATCTTCAAAGTTGCTTTGGTAACATTTTTTCTAATTAATTATAATTGTGAGGCTGTTAATGAAAAATTTGAGCATATGAGTTTTTTGAGCACAGTTTAAGGATATCAAATTGAGACAAAATAGAAATCAAAATGTTCCTACATTTTGATTCCTTTTTTGTCTCTATTTGATATCTGCAGAAAAACTATTAGTTACATAAAAACTTTGCTAATAAAAATGATTTATTTTGTAAAAAAAATATTGCGAATTTAAAAATAATAGAAAAAGTAAAGAAAATAATTTTTTTAATTAGAAAATTTATTGTGTGAACTATTTGAATTAAAACATTCTTTGCGGTTGAATTGTCTAGTCAAATAAAAGCCACAAAGGTTTATCTCTCATAAGAGAGAATCCCAAACCATAGTCTTCTGATGATGACACCTTTTCTAGCCTTAGGAACAAGTCAAAAGTTAGCGATGCTTTTTGATGCAAACCCCGTACATCACGCGGTTTTATCCTTTGAATTTTACTTCATCACTCGAGGGTTTTAGGTACTACTACCACTGCTGCTTTTAAAATGTTCGCTTCCTTTACATTTCTCTTCAAAGGAAGTGAATTAATTTAAATTAAGCGGATTTCATTTGTGAATATCTTCTTGAAAATTATGCGCACGAGTTGTTCATGTACTTCAAGAAAAGAAAAAAAAAGAAAAAAAAACAGAAAGAAAGAAAGAAAACTGGAAAAAACCTCGTGAAATGTGTTTATAAAAACAGTGTGTTCCCATTGAGAGATTAAAATGATTCTCATTAACTAAATAAGTTTGAAGAATATTTTTATCTACTTTTTATTCAACTCGCTTGTTTTATTCTTGTTTCATTCTTTTTATTCATTTTTTTGTTTCTCATTTTTAACTGTTTTGAATTTTAATAATTTCTGTATTATTTTTTCTATTCGCGTATTTTTCTTTAAAATTTAATTTAAAAGAGCTTTTTAGAAAATATTTTTTATAGTTTTATTTTTCACTTTAATAAAAACGTCATGAAAAGGAAACACTTGTAACTATCAAAAACCGATTTATAAAAAAACTGTTAGTTGACGTTATCTAAAGTGATCCGCAAAAACCACAGAAAATAATCAAGAAAATACGAACTAAAAGCAATTTCTGGAAATTGATGGTTTATGCCCTTTGATTGATTTTCAAATCCTGTTACACAAAATCAGAACACCATCTCGCCCTTTCTGTCACTATTTCTAGTTTTTTTTTACTAGTCTACTCTTTGAAAGAATTTTAATATAAGCAGGGCTCGAACCAGGTCCTTAAATTCCGTAAAAGTAATTTTTTTGAAAAAGGTCCGTAATTTGATTAAAAAAGGACTAAAACTTCGTAAATTGTACAATATAATTAGACATATAAAAATAGAAAAGATTTACATTACCAAAATATGGAACCACTTGTAGACATTGTATCATTCTTATTGTATGATGAAAAAAAAACTCACCTGAAACATAAAAAATTGAAAATTAAATCAAGGAACAATGGAAAGTGTGTCTATTGATAAAATTAAGGTACAAAGTGTATATAATATTTGAACAATAATTAATTATGAGCGTAATGTTTCATTAGTTAATAGTTTAAATAAAAATTCTTGACATTCATTTACAATGCATTGAAAAGCGCCTTCATTAATATTATATTTCTCATGAAATTGAATATGTTTGTACAATTCCTCTATGTTATTACTGAGTAGAAAATATAGATTGGGTAAAATTAGAATATTACAGTCTATGAAACTCTAATTCGTAATTTGATTAACATCATTATTAAACATATTTTGCCTTCACCCTTTTGTGAAAAAACTATACCCTTACCACATGTGCTAAACATCGAAAATTCTTAAAATTCAACATTTTTCTTTTATTTTAAGGCAAATATCTTGATAGTCTCTTAAACTTCACCCTTTAATCAAAAAACTACCCTTATGAAATGTACGAAAAACGAAAATTTAAAAAATTTAAAACTTTTAATATTTGTTTATGGGATTTAGCTACTAATTATTAGACCTCTAATAATTAATTAATGTTAACTAATTCTAATTTAGAGAGTAGTGTTGGGTAAATTTTAAGTTTAATAATTATTGCCAACAATAGAATTGATATGACTTTTTATAATTAAATAGGCATATTTAACGTTAAACATCAAAGACAAAAAGATCTTCAAAATTATATAATTGCGAAAATTAGTGAACTGGATGAACAACTATTATCACTATAAAGCAATTAGCGAATCAAATTAGTTTAGATTAGTTTGTACGCCTTTTTACGAGAACAAAGCAAATAATATTAAATTCTACCTAATAATTGTAGTGTTAAATATGGAAGTATTTACGAATAATTGAGATATTGAAGGTTATTCTCGAAATACAAATAAAATTAAAATAGCAAGAACAAGTAATTTCTCAAAAAAATATTTATCTTCTGGGACAGGAATTTAGTTTCAGAGGAGAAAGAGAGAGAGTGAGTGAGAGAACCAAAGGTTCTGAAATGTAGAAGAGTTTCACTCAAGCGACCACAAGAAAATCCGGCATAACACTGACGGTTCAGCATTCCATTCTATAATGAAAGCTTCCTTTGCCCCGAAGGAAAACGAAAAATTTAAAACAGAAAAATTTACAAATTTCTGGTACAAAAATTCTCTTTTCAAGAATAAAATTTCGAAAACACTTTTTCTAAAGTTTTGAACTTTTTGCTTCAATATTTTCAAAAATCACTAGACTGTCAAAGGAAATGTAACTTAACGATTTTAACTTAGTCGAGAATTATTTTTTACATAAATTACAAAGTTTGCAATTTTTTTAAGAAGATTCCTCTTCTTTTAATTTGTATTTTGTATTTTTTGTTTTTGTAATTTGTATTTTTGTTACAAAACATTGTTTGACAATTTTTTGCAACAAAAATACGAATTAAAAGAAGGAGATTCTCCTTTGAAGTTTCGAAACTTTATAGGAACATAAAAAATACAGTGAAACAATTATGAATAAAATATCCATTTTTGTAAAAACTAAGCTCAAAAAAGAAGCTTTTTAAGCTTCACGTTTCCAGGAAGCTAAATAAAAGGATAACGAAGAATGGAAGCAAGATATTCCAGTAACGCTTTTCCATTGTCCTGTTAAGAATACAATGATGGATATTTGAGCCCGAAACACTGTTCTCGAAAAAAAATTCACAAAAAAAGAAATTGACACTTCAATTAATATCAAATATATAAGCGAGCAAAGATGGTTTCACGAAATTCTTAACATGAAAAAGTGAAAAAAAAATTAAAGAAAATATATATAAGTACGAAAAAGACCTCGCGTGTCCCATGAAATTTATGCTCAACTTTTCTGCGTGACGAAGCAAAATGATTTGTCGGCTAAGAAATTTTCTCTCCGTTTACGTGTCTCGTTAGCTTTTTCATCCTTTGATTTCATTTCTCTCTCTCTCTCTCTCTCTACCTTTACTTCACTTATCTCGTACATTTAAACTAGTTGCTGGTTAATTTGAGAGGTGAATTCAAGGAATGAAACTTTTAAGGGAAGATGAAGTAAAAAAAAGGGAATTGAAACGAAACGAAACGAGTAAAAAAAAGCACACAAGCATTTGCTATCAAATGCTTCTTTTCTGCTCATCACAGAATCGTAAGGAGGTTGAAAAATTTTATTCGTATAAACTTATTTTGAGGATCTTTACCAAATTGCTCTAGAGATTTGTTTTCTTCGAGTCAATTTTGATAATCAATTTTCAAAAAAAAAATCTTTTAAACATTCATTATTGAACTATCGACAAAGAAATATGTACCTAATATGTATTTGATAATAAAAATCATTAATTTTAAAAAAAGTTGTCTCGATTTCGGAGAATTTAGAAACTCTTTTGATTATTAAAAAATACATCACTAAATGCCCGACTGAATTTAAAAGTAAATCAGGTCTGACTAAACTTGGAGTTTTGCTACTCAGTCTCATCAAATTAAAATCCGTTCTACTTAATGTCTGACAGAATATATCAATATAGTTATACTACTGAATCTCATACTACTTAAACAATTTTGTACTACTCAGCATTACCAGACTCAATATCAAACTCCTCGAAAAGGAAAGATGTCACTCTTTTATTATGTATAATTACCCAGACTAATTATAAACCAAAAAGCAATTTTTAAATTTATTCATTTTATTCTCTAATTTCCATATAATTTTTCTACCCGAAATATTTTTTATCCGACTTTAAAAAAGAGGGAAAAAACAATTTTCTTTCAATATTCAAGAATGACAGAATAATTGCCTCTATTCAAAGGCGAGAGAAAAAAAAGAAAATTCCTTAAATTAACAATAAATTTTTTAAAGAGAAAAATATTTCGAAAAGAGTATTTTTGAATTGAATGCGATAATGGTTTTTGAGAACAATTTATTGAAGCGAATTGCGAGTATCGCTATACAAAACAATGAGCTCATTGTTTCACGTGTTGGAATTCATTGTTGCAGCAGTTTCGTTGAATTGGTTTTTCCTCGTATTGTTAGTTTGCATTCAAAATATCCAAATGCAACACGTTCTAAATATACAATAGAAGTATAAATGCTCAACGAGGATCCTCAATTCGAAGTGAGAGGAAAAAGGATAAATATATTTAAATTCATTTTTTATTATATTATCCCCATAAAAATACGGTTAATGAAATTCTCAAGTAATAATAATTTCAAAAAGTGATTATTATTTTTTATCCTAATAATTAGTTATTCTTCTGCTAAAATTTATTAATTTTTTTTACTAATTAATTTCTATTACCAATAATTATGTATTTTTTAGTAAATTGTAAACCAAATATTAGTCAAAATTTTACTAAAAATTTTAGCTATTTCTAACTATTTAATACTTAGAGAGTAAAAAACTGGTAAAAATTATTTATCAAATAAAAATAATTTTAATATAATTTTAATTTTAAAGCGGGAATTTCAATAATTATTTCAACGAAAAAAAAAGTATTTGATAAATTGTCCAATAACAGATTATATATTTGAATCAAATAGGTACATTTTTCTCATCGCGATAACAGAAAAGAGAACAGAAAAAAATACCATAAAAAATCAACACAATAAATTAAATAAACATAACGACTAAGCGTAAAAATCATTTCAAGTTAAAAAAAACCAATTCCAATTTTAAAAACCTATTTCAAAAAGAACAGACGTTAAAACAAAAAAAAGGACAAAACCATCATACAGGATATAAAATCAATTTTCGTAAATGTGTCACATATGTCCCACGAGTGTAATGGTTTCGAATAATTCCAGTTAAAATTCAATTTCATCAATTTTGAAGGGAAAAAGAATTTTAAAAGTGTCAGAAATTTACACTCTTAGAAAATTTTGTACAGAATTTTAAAATACTGGTAATATTAATAAATAACTTCAATAATAATAATGGTTATTAACCAAAAATGCAAAAGATTGGTAGCATTTCCAAAGAAAGGTACCTAAGAAGCTAACAATTTTAACTTAACTTTTTTTAATAAATAATGATTCAAATTCAAACCTTTTTGAAATTAAACAACTTATAATAATTTAGATTATCATAGAATTTTTCAAAAAAAATTTCATTATTTTTACAAGTAGTCAAATTAATCAAAAGAATTCAATTATTTTTTAAAAAATGTAATAACATTCGTTGCAAGAATTCAATTATTTTAATAAATAATAAATAGATTATTAGGAAATTCATTTTTGAATCAATTTTTATTAGAAACTTCTACCAAAATTCAATTATTTAAATTCAAAAATAAATAATTTATTAAATAATTGAATTTTGGTTAAAATTGAATTCTCATAAAGAATTTTATCAACAAATTTTTAAATATAATTGAATTCTTTCGACGAATTTAAAAAAAAATTTTAAGAATAATGACATTTTTCGAGGAATTCGATTAAAATTGTATCAAAAATAATTAAAATCCTGCATTGAGTTTTATTATTTATGAAAATAATTAAATTACTGAGAACAATTTTATTATTTATAAAAATAATTTATTTATTGCGAAAAAAATTATAAAAAATTGTAAATATAATTGAATTCCTGTGAAATTTCGATTATTTTATGAAAATATTTAAAGTTTTGCGTAGAATTTTATTAAATTTGTTTTAAATAATTGAATTTTTTTGGAAAATTTTATTAAAATAGTAGATATTTAAAATCGTTGAATTGAGAAAAATTTTCCCAAGAGTTTTATGAAAATTTTTGAAAATAATTGAATTTCGGGGAAGAATTTTATTATTTATAAAGATACTTGAAATTTTGACGAGGATTTTTAATCATTTTTGAACATAATTGAATTTCTGTGAAGAATTTTATTACTTATGAAATTAATTGAATTTCTGCAATCTTTTGTAACTTTTCATAAATTCAATTTTTTTAGTGTTTTTAACTAAAATTCTTCCATAATTTTTAATAATTAATTAAATATGATTAAAAAATGTAACTAATTTTAGAAGAATTTTAATTATTAAATTTTTTTTAAAAAACTGAGTTCTTTAAAATTTTTAATTAAATTCTTTCAAAATTGAGAGTTTTCTTGTGAATTTTAAAAATTCAATTTTTTCCAGTACTTTTACTAAAAATCCCTCACATTTCCCTGTATTCTGTTTTAATTAAAGTAAAAATAACACGAACATAACCTATAATAAAATAGGAAAAATTAAATATTTGTGATGAAGAAAGGTACCTACCTACCTTTCTTCATCAGAAATGTTTCATTTTTCCAGTACTTTTAATAAAATTCCCCGACATTTTTCCCTTTTTCTTTCCACTCCCCGATTTCCCTCACCTGTGGCAATATACTCGGCAATATATTCAATGACAGTAAAAAGCCATAATATTGAAATTCATCTTCGATTTATCTCCCATATATTCCCCTTTTCAACTCACCGTTCTCCTGAGGACAGTTCTGACAGTCTCAACTTCCTGCGTTGGCCAACGTACATAAACGACCGCTGACAATATGACTACAAAGATTCCTATCCAAATCGTCCATGCCATTAAATTCTTTGACCTCGCAAGAAGCTTCCTCGCCGTCTTAGTTGAAATAACTTCCTGCGTTGGAATCTCCAACTTTTGTGCCTTTCTTAAAATGTCCTGCAATCGCCTTTTGGCCTGATCAACATCAGGAACACCCATTCTTGTCCTTTTCACGTTTACCACAACCCTCTAAACCTCTGACGATGGCCAATTCTTCCGCAAATGAAGCGCAACTATCTTCAGGACGGAGGCATTGGAAAAATATTCCCAAAGAACCCACACAATCTTTCAAAGATTCCAACTTTTCTCCCTTTTTGAGGAAAAAATCCTCCTTTTATAAATGTGTCGAATTTCTGCAAAAAGAGAATAAAAAAAACCCCAATTGTGATTTTATTCTAATAATAATAGGGTCTTGCACTCGTCACCGCCTGAGAATGTCTAGTAAGGAATGAAAACGCGAATATGAAAAGCGAATCGTCTATAATCGTCCATTTGAATTCAAGTCACGTAAAAAGAGTTTTAATGGAAGAATCCTATACATATCTAAGTTTATCGACTCCATTTCCCTTCATAATTAATTCACAATATACCAGTAGGTAGTCTGCTGAAATTCCAATGCGGCACATATAGATCGAAATAAAGAATTCTCTAATACCGAAAATTGATGTGACATGAGATATTTGCCGAAATATCGTAATCGAGGAAAATTGGAATGTCATTATTCGGCTTATCAGTATCGATTAATCTGATGGTAATTAGAACAATTTCGATAATCTCCGAATACTGCCACACTGATAATCTGCACGAGTATATGGAGGAAACTCGAGCCAATTTCAATCATAACAAAAGTAATTTCTGGGTCATCAGAAACAGTGAATACAATGCCCACAATTGCGGTAACTGTAACTGAAAGTGTCATACGTTCCAGTCCGCAATACAAAGCACACATTTAAGTTCGACTCTAACTTTTATTACAATATGCATTGTTACTCGCATGCGCTTCTACTTTCTCTCTCACTCTCTATTTTATATAAATAAAATAGAGAAAGAGAGAGAGAGAGACCATCACATTTTGCCATATATGAAAACCACTTCAAAACTGACAATATTATTTCCTATTTATATATAGAAATATAGATATAGAAAATTCCACGCAACAGGAAGTTGCTTTTAACGAGATTCGATCGTCAAGGCGCATCTATCTTAATTCCCTTCTTGAAAGGATTTCATAACCCAACTACGAGAAGACATTTATGGCGCATAAAAACCTTTTCTTAAAACCTTTTTAGAGACGTCTAGAGTTTTAATTAGCAAAGATCTAAAATTTTATCAATTACTGCTGAAACAATAGCAAGATTCTTTCAAAAACTTACTATTTAACCAATAAAAAAAAGAAAAGATTTAATAATAAATTTTAATAATGAAAATAATAACAAATAAAAGAAAACTAAAATAATTTTGTTAAAGGTGGACAACATTTTGGATGTTCTTTTAATAATGATTCCTGATTTAATAATAATGATTTAAGGTTGAATCCTTTAATTAAAATAATAATTTTGGTTTCCTCAAAACTATTTTTCAAAATGAAGACAACTCGTACGTGATAAAATTAACTCAAAATAATGTTAAAATTGAACAAAAGAGAAAACTATAAATAAAATATTAACTGTTTTATTAATTAATTATTGGATTTCAATATTTGTAACTAATTAACTTTATTGCCAGTAAATATTTAATATTCAGTACTTCAAAAACTAAACTTGAAAGGCTTGAAAGGAAAAACCATTTGGAGGTTATGGTACTTCGATATCAATATCGATATATCGATTCTTAAATGAATTTGATTGGTTCTCAAGTAATTCTCTTTTCTTTATCAATTTGGGAATTCTTTCTTCTTTACACAGAAAGTATGAAAAACTGGCTTGTATTTCTGCGCATTTTTCGCAATTTTTATAATTTCAAAAGTAAATTTTACAATTTAAAAAATAAATTTTACTATTTCAAAAGTAAAATTTACTATTACAAGAGTAAATTTTACTATTACAAAAGTGAAATTTACTATTACAGTCGAGTAAAATTACTATAATATTTAAAAAGTTTCAAAATTTTAATAATAAATTTTACATTTTAAAGACTAAATTCTACTATTTCAAAAGTTTTACATTTTAAAGAGTAAATTTTACTATTTTAAAAGTAAAATTTACTATTACAAGAGTAGCATTTACTATTTCAAAAGTAAAATTTAATAAGTCTAGAATACATTTTTCTATTTCAAAGATAAAATTTAATTATTTCAAGAGTGAGATGTACTATTATTGTATAGTAAATTTTACTATTCTCAAAGTAAATTTTATTAATTTTAAAATAAAGTTTAACAAAAGTTTCTAAAATTAATTTTGGTCGCAGTAAAATTTACGTCGATACAAGTAAAACTGGAAAAAATTAATCAAAAACTCCAAATAACTACTTTACTTTTACTATGCAGATATAGTAAAAGTTATGGAAAAGTTTGTTCCATACAGCAAAAATAAATTTTTCCTTACTAATTTAAATTAACAGTAAATTTTCAAATAATTATAAAAAGAAAAATTTTTTTAAAATTTTTATCTTATATAATGTTGCCGAAAAAACCTAAATCCAATTAAGAAATAAAGTAGAGTAAAAATTTACAAGCACTTATTTCTTCATACATCTCCATCAAATCTTCCTCTAGACTTAATCTTGAGCAATTAATAACCAATTCCAATCTTACAGACTTTGATTAATGAATCACTAAGATACTCATTTATTACAAGCTAATTCAGAATGTAAAGTTAATAATTTTCAAAATTTACAAAATTAACAATTTATTATCTACTTTTTTCTCTGTCAAAGAAAATCATTTATAAAAATTATTTTTTTACTTTTTAATCATTTTTTCATAATAAAGTATTAAATTTAATCAAAAATCAATTTATATCAAAATTTTACAAAATCGTTTATAAAATTTATTCAAACTAATTTGAAGGAAAGGTATTCAATAGTCATGTAAAATAATTTAAATAACATTTTTAATTCATTTTTAATATCAATTATAAATAATTAAAAAAACAATTTCAAAATATAAATGCTGGTTTTAATAAATTATTCTTTCCTTTTAATTTTTCAATTTATCGTTGTTATCTCTATAAAGCAATTTTATAAAAAAATTCATGAAATTACAAAGCAGATATATAGGTATTGAATTGCATACAACAAACATGAAAGTATATAAATTAAATTAAAATGTAATTAAACTTTTTTTTTGAAAGGTTAAAAATTCAATAGTACCATTCACTGAAATAATTTAATTAAAACTTCATCAAATTTGTACTTTTACAGAATTTTATTAAAAGCTGTATTGTAATTTTAATATATTGAATATAATGAAAACTTTTTCATTTATTTTCGAGAAATAAATTTTTAAACAAAACCATTATAAAATATAAAAAAAACATCACTCTCTAAAGTGGAATTTCACTTATTGAAAATTATTTTTAACTTTTTAACGAATGAGCGACTGGTAATTTTTAATAAGTGAAATTTTCTTTTAAAGCGAAATTATTAAAAGAAAAGTTATTAAAAGAAATGTTTTACTTACGATAAATTAAAGAAATATTTTATTTACTATCGTAAGTAAAAAATTTTTTGAAATTATAATTTTTTTTTAAATGTAAGAAAAGTGTGTAAATGTAAATCATTAATTGAAATTAAATAAGTTTTCCATGACATTGAAACAATTTTAACTTTACATTTCCGAGACTAAGGAAAACAAGAATTTTTTTCTTTTTTGTAAAACACTTTTTTTCTTGGGGGAAAAGAGAGTAAGAAAGGTGGAATAAACAGCTGTTATGGATATGCACCCTGAATAATTCTGCATGAATGAATAGGAAGGTCAAGTTAAGCAAGAGGGAAAATCCCACTGAGTCAGATCAAAGTGGGTACGTACGAAAAGTGGTTCACCGCGTCAGAATTTCTATTGGCAACTTGACAACCACAATACCAATTTGCCCTTTGGGGTTTAAATCTTAAAACTAAATACTTTCTCTCCTCAATTTTAGCTGACAAGAAATACACTCTTGCGGCATTCAAACATTAAAAATTTTAAACTATTCTTCAACTTTTATTCAATAACTGCTTCTAAAATTCCAAAATAAAAGCAGACCTTAAAAAAGATTAAATTTCCTTATACAATTTATCTGCAGTCAAGAATTTTTATACCTGACTGCAGATAAATTTCAAATTATTTTACAAAAACCAGTGAGAGTATAAAATATTTCCAACAAATTCAGCATAATATTAAATATGGAATGTCAAGAAAGTATTTTAAAAATGACAACCACCAAAGTTTTCAAAGCGGAAAAAGTTGGAGTACAAATGTTAGCGGGGAATTTAAAGCGTGCGGGAGAGGAAATTTCTACCTGCAGAAATTCCAAGTTGATTATCAAACGGGACGATTGATTACATTGAATGGAAGCCAATGTTGAATTTTCGAGTCTTCATTCCTCGAAAATTAATCGGAGAAATGCAGGCAAGAAGCTAATTAACTGGAATCCAGAGTCGCGCTTTGTTGAAATTTATCTCTTTCTCTCCTTCAATATTTCTCTCCCACACCCTTTCTCTCTCTCACTCACAAATACACAGATATGGAGCATTCCAAGATTTTTTCGAGTGTGAAATTTCACGCTCTATCTGGTGTTCCAATTTCTATTCTCTTTAATAACTCGCAATCCGCTAGAGAAGATTTAGGATCCAAACGAAAATGGGAAACAGAATCTATATATATATATATATATATATATATATGAATATATAGGAGATAAAGAGAGAGAGAGAAGGGTAATATTCAAGCTTGTTTTATCTAATATTGCGCTTCTGCCGTGAATATCTTATGATTACAATATACCGCATTCTATTTTCGTTATGGAAATGGCTTCGAGAATATTATCTTAGGAGAGTATTACCAAAACAATGATCAAGCATTATGTTGTACATAATATCTGTATACACACTACTTAGCACGTAAATAACAAATTTTCCCTACAACAATTTTTCCCTCTCCCACAATATCATTTATGCCAAGCACCAAAATTCTCCATTTTATATTTATTCTTCTTTTTCACCCTAATACTCCATTTATAATATATTTTTTACCCTCATTTATTTTCTACTATCATAATCATTTACTAACTATCTATTAATTACCTAATAATTATTTACTGATATTAATAATCACTTACTAATTATAATTGATATTAATAATTACTTACTATTTATTTTTGATATTAACAATTACTTACTAATTATTTATTAATAAATTATAATCAATACATTCCGCGTTATAATAAGATTTTATTGACTTTGCTTGCTTTGTAGGTATGTGCACATTATTTATCAGACCGAAATTGTGCTTGTTGGTTAAAATTATAATCATGAAACGAATTCCCCATGGCATTATAATTTAAGGAAATTACAAAGGTTCATAATCAAATGATACCGAATGTATGGCTCGATTAACTTCGAAGATTATTCAAAATCGTCATCAAATGATATATCATTGTGTGATTAACATCAAAGATAATAATAATGTCAGTGCATGACCTAATTAACATCAAAGATTCCATATCATTTCTATTATATGATAATCATCAAAGATCCAAATCATTTCTATTATATTATATAGTCATCAAAGATTCAAAATCATCTCCTACTATTTTATTTATTCTTTATACAGTTCCGGATCTATTAAAAGTATTGTTCGTTATTTATTATTTAATTAACCATTTCTATTTAACTAACCATCTCTATTGAATTAACCATCAAATTGTTTCTTTAAATTCTAAATTTATTTTCGACAATTTGTACAGTGAGATTACATTTTTATTTAGTGGTTTTAAACACCTTAGTGAAGTTGTAGTGAATCACAATTCACACTATTTGGTATTTTTAAACACCTCAGTGAAGTTTTAGTGAATGGCAATTGCCATTCACTAAAACTTCACTGAGGTGTTTAAAAATACCAAATAAATAATAATTCATAAGTTAATACCAATAATTTAGAATTTACTACCAAACTTTTTAATTTAATAATCGAACCACAATTTTATAGCACTTATCATCATAATAAATCGAGCAACAATGTTTCAATACAAAAAAAAAAACTTCGCAATTTGTCAGCAAACAGAAGAGACCCTCTACCATCAATTAATAATCAAAGCAAGTACCTTCCTCAACGATGATAATGATAATGGAAAAATCAGCAACCTCATGTGTTTGCACATGGTCACTGGAGATTCGATCAAATATCTATCATGATAGATTTGCCTACCACAATAATTGATCCCCCAACATATCATCACAAACCACACAAGACTTGATTTCACATAAGTGATCCCCTCGTGGACAAGACCTTTCCCAACAAATACTAAAAACCTCTCCCCAGCTTTCAAAACATCCCTCATCGAAAGAACCCTCACAAGGAAAAATTGAGAACCTAACAGGACATATTCCACAGGCGATGAGAGTGCAAAAAAACAAAAACAAATTTTTTTTCTTTCGAACCCTCTGACCTTTTCCTCTGAATATCCGACTTCTGATTCGTGAACATCTGCACTGCGGTTCGTTGACTTTTTCCGCCGTCGTCGTCGTCGTCGTTCTCAAAAATTCAATGATTTTCGTGAAAGAAAGAAAAAAGGAAATTTGTTCTTAAGGGGGAAAAAAAGAAATTTTCAATAATCGAGAAGACACACGAGAAGTGAGGGAAAGTTTTTCTTTTTTATTTTAAGCTTTCGAAGAGAGGATAGTTCCGATAACTAATCCAGGACCCGCGACGGGTGCGAACTAACCATCTTCAACGAGGGTTGCTGCCCTTATAGATAAAACAAAAACGCAGCGCAAGCGCCACAAAGCACGTCACGGTAGGCGCAAGCGTCATTGTAGAAAATCGTATATAGGAGCCTAAAAAACCGTTGCGTTGTACGATTCACGTACACAGTGAAAATACCAAAACATGTATACATGAGATATATCTCAAGTCCAGAAGCAATAGTGAACGGCGATTGGACGTCGTCCAGTTTCACAGGGATGCTTTCTCTCTCTCTCTCTCACTCTCTCTCACTGTTATAAATCTCTATTAAATTCGGTTCTCGCGCGAACCAGATAATGACAGCGGCGGTGTATAAAAGGGGTACAATCGGAACCGAACGCTCGCGATATATGGATTAATAACGGATTCCTGTCGAAAAATTTAGAGAGTCAGGGGAGATGCGGACAGTTTTTACATTTCTCGTGTGAACATACAGAGATATATTTATGGGAGTTTCCTCTATGAATGCATCGAAAAGAGAGAGAGATAGAACTTTTTTTTCACATCATAACCGGAAACTATGGAACCAACATACAAACGCGGCGAATAATTCATTTTTTTGTAATTGAGGAAATTGTAAATATTGACATTCGAATAAAAAAAAAGTACAAAAAGAAATTAATTCAATAGTAGAATAAAGTGAATACTATAAAATAGTTGGAATAATAAATATATATTTTTGTTTGACAATTTGCCAAATTCGAGAAATAAAAAAATTATTAAATACATTTTTTAAATAAGTGAGAATAATGAAAAATTCAAAATAATTACTATTTTCAAGTTTTACTCTCTGAATCCGAATTTGTTGAAAAATAAAAATGTTTACTAATTTGAATTAGTGACTGAATTTTGCTTTTTAATTAGTAAGTTTTCCTAACAAATTAGTAGAAATTACTATTTGTTAGTAAAATTTACTAATTCAATAGCGAAAAGTCAGTCACTAATTCAAATTGGTAGAAATTACCATTTATCAGTAAAATTAACTAATTCAATAGCAAAAAGTCAGTCACTAATTCAAATTAGTAAACATTTTTTATAATTCAATTTTAGAGAGTGAGTCAAAAAGTCAGCTAAGAGTTTACTAATAATTACTTATATTAAACTACTTCAGCTTTGAAGAATAATTCTTCAGTGAGAAGGTTTCATTTTAAAAATACGTTCTAAAAATAATAAGAGAAATAAAATTTTAATTAAATTACAATTTCCAAAAGAAATTTCCAATCTCCATTAAAATTTGATTCACTAGCTAAAATCCATAATTCGAAAATTACATAAATTCATACAAGAATCATCTTTTGAATTTGGACGATTCTGACTTTAATATGCAACATCAATAATTGAGAACTAGAGTGGAAACGTAGAGAAAAGTTAAGCTGATTGTAACTTGGACAGTTTAATGGAGATTTAATGACTTATGTTACTACTTTGTAACATTTTGTGCAATAATTGCAATGAATATTAAATTTCTCTTCAACAATTTTCACAATATTTACATTTAATATAGTTATAAAGTTCAATTTCTCTTTGTCATTTATTTTTTCAATTTATTCATTATAGAGTATATAATTCATTTATTCAAAAAATATTTACCCTGTATTTCACTGTCAATTTTTTTTTTGTATTTTATTACAATCTCATTACATGAAAGAGTCTTTTTCATTAAAACCGGACAATAAATATATAAATTCTGAAACAGAATAATTATGTAACATTTTTTACTTTAAATATAATGACAGGAGTTGCAATGTAATTACAAATGTAATTATACAACATACGATTAAAAGCTTCTTTATTCAAATAAATAATTTCAATTCAATTTATTTCGTACAAATAGAATGACAAAGTTAATTGACATAGAAGTCTGTATACAGTGAAAATGACAATTTCGATAAAAATAATTTATACCTTTACAATAAATATATAGAATTAAAAATGCAAACAATTATAAAATACATAACATAGAAAATACATAAAATATTTTTAATTATTGTGAAAATTTTTCATTTATTTATTTATTTATTGAATATTTTTTATAAATATGTAAAAAATATTGTAATTTATATTTTATAATTACAAAAAATGTAAAATGTAGCAAAGTGTTTCCTTCTTAAATAATGTTTCTTTTTAAATGTTTAAAATTTTATAATTCATGTACTGAAAATAATTGAATTCTTGTAAAGTATTTATAAAAATATTTGAAAATGTAGTTAAATTCAATTCAATAATTCAATTATTTTAAAACTTTTTTTTTAAATTCATCGAATGAATATGAATATGAATATTAATAATAATAATAATAATAATAATAATAATAATAATAATAATAATAATAATAATAATAATAATAATAATAATAATAATAATAATAATATAATAATATAATAATATAATATAATATAATATAATATAATATAATATAATATAATATAATATATATAATATAATATAATATAATATAATATAATATAATATAATATAATATAATATAATATAATAATATTAATAATATTAGGGGAGAGTGGTCCTAAGTTGGCCGCCTAAGCAAATTGGTCGAAAATATTAACAAAATGAAATTTAATCACTTCGGCAAGTATATATTAGTGTTCAGAGATCGTTTTGCTATAATTTTGTGGTATTTAGAACGTTATAGAATAGCTTTTGTAGTCTAAATACAATAAATAGTGAAAAGCTGCATTTCGGGTAGAAAATTAAATTCTTTTAAACAATTTTATTAGAGTTTTTGTAAATAATTATATTTTTTTTGGAAGGATTTTGATTAAAATTCGTAAAAATAATGTAATTTTTTAAGTAATTTTAATTGAAAATTTGGAAAATAATTGAAATTCACAATAAATTTTATTAAAGACTTTTGAGAGCAAATGAATGGTTTAGAAAAATTGTATTACAATTTTTAAAAATAATTGAACCTGTTTGAGAAATTTTTTCAAAATTATCTTAAATATATAATTGAATTTTTTCCTAGAAATTTTATTAAAATTGTATATTGAAAATAATATTAAATTTCTTCGAAACATTTTATTATTTATGAAAATAATTGGATTCTTGCCAAGAATTTTACAATTTCTAAAAAGAATAGAATTTTTTCATCAGAATTATTGAAAATAATTGAATTTAAATAATATTTTTAAAAATAATTGTAATCTTTTGAGAAATTTTATTATAACTTTAGTGAAAATAATTGAATTCCTCATTTGCTAGTTTAATAATATTTACTAATAAATTAATAAAAATTACTGATAAGTAGTAAAGTTTACTTAATTAAAAAAAGTCGGTCGCTAATTCAAATAAGTAAAAATTTTTACTAATTGAAATTTAAAAAGAGTATATTTATAGTTTTGCGTAAATTTTTAAAAAATATTACAAAATACTTTCAATATAAACATTTCCCTTTAATAGCAAACACTTTTTGATAATTTTAGGAAAGAGAAAATATACATTGCAATAAAAATGTACAATTTGCCAAAATAGGGCTAATTTAAAAAATAAAATAAATGTGGAAGAAGAAAACACTAGAAACAAAAAATCGAAACCAATATTACAAATCTCTCAACAATAATCAAATTTAATCGTAATTTTTCAGCAAAAAACTATGAAAGTCTAATAAAAAGGAATCGAATTGGATGTCCGTAAAAATCATAACCCTCATAATTTCTTCTTATTCCGAGTCGATACTTTAAAGAAGAAAAGGCTTCTATTGCGAGTCGATAAAGTCAGGGCAATAAAGCCTTCGGTAAAGTTCAAAGAAGTATTGAGCTTCCTCAATATCACCTCAATAAACTGACTCTACCTTTCCGGGGGCCGCCACAAGTGGGTATCTACTTTTATTGGCGGATTAAGAAACGGATTTTCAACCACCTCTTTCTTTTCTCTTCATCTCTTGTGTGTGTGTCTGTGTTTGTTCCTTTTTTCGGGTTTGTGCACGATCTTACGAAGCTTCTTTCTTTCTTTCTTTCTATCTCTCTTTCTTTTTTTTCTTGTATGTGCCCGCACACGCGAAAGGAGGAAATAAACGTATTTCGAAAGAGGTTCAAAGGGCCTTTTGCCAGTAGGGTGAAGGACCCTCTCTCGTCGAAGGAATTTAATCGAGAGAGTCTCACTGTCAAGGAAGAAAGCAGTTTGGACCAGTTTAAGCTTCTTGAGATTAGTCTTGTTCTTACGACAAAATGAACCACACGCGTGGAAAAAAAACATTTTTTTTCTGGATAAATAGAGAAAAAAGAGGGAGAAAAAACGGGCCAAGAGATCCAACTGGCAAAGATTGATGCACCCCAAGTGGTCTAATTCAAAACTTCCGAATGGACAGGGATTTGTGTTTCTTTCCTTCAGTCACTACGATTTACTTCACCTTCGATTTAAATGTTACCCAGAGAGACTGACAATGAAACGTTTAGAATTTTTTTAGTCAACTGAAAAAAGGTGTAATTTACGATCCCAAAATTGCAGAACTGAAATTTTTTCACAATATTCCCAACTTTTTAAAATATAATTTATAATTTAAACCTATCTATAGGTATTAAAAATTAACTATAATAATCTTCATATTTCATTCTTTCAAATTCTATTCTATTTGTCAATTACAAATTTTAATTGAAAATGAAATTGAAACTTTTAAAATTTTTAGAAAATAATGAAAAAATTTTACTCAAAAAAATATTCTGTTACATTTATTTACAAATTTCTTTAATTATAAAATTATTCGAAAATATCAATAACTTTTTTTTTAAATAAATATTTAATCAATATTATTTTTCCACAGGAATTAAGAATTTCAAAAATTTCAAATTCAAATCTTTTTAAATTCAATAACTTATAAGAATATTTTTATAAAACATGAAGACAGCGATTGCTCCGAATCGAAGAGATAAAATCATTATTTTATATTATAAGAATATTGTTACTGTAACTTCATCAAAATTATTTTCATCATTTTAATTCAATTATAATTTTCTAGAATTTTAAATTGTTTT